GATACGGTTTTTGGCTTCATTCTCTTGATGTGATGTATTATGTTTCTTGGTTTATGCATATTGAACTACCCTTGTATGGGATGCAATCTCACTTGATCCTGTTATATTATCTTTTAGTTAATTTTATTTTAATTTTTTTAGAGACAGGATCTTGCTCTTTTGCCAAGGTTAGAGTGCAGTGGCATGATCATAGCTCACTGTAACCTTGAAATCCTGGACTCAAGCAATCCTCCCACCTCAGCCTCCTGAGTAGCTAGGACTATAGGCGTGTACCAAAATTTTTTTAATTTTTATTTTGTAGAGACACAGTCTCACTATGTTGCCCAGGCTGGTCTTGAACTCTTGGCCTCAAGTGATCCTCTCACCTTGGCCTCCCAAAGTGCTGGGATTACAGGCATGAGCCACCATGGCCAGCTTGTATTGTCTTTTTGATGCGCTATTGAATTCAATTTGCTAGTAGTTTGTATTTTTGCATCTGTTTTCATCAGGAATATTGGCCTGTGGTTTTCTTTTTCTGTCATGTTCTTGTTTGGTTTTGGTATTGGGTTAATGCTGGCCATGAACAATGAGTTAGGGAGAATTCTCTTCAACTTTTTGGAATAGTCGGAGAAGAATTGGTGTTGGTTCTTCTCTGTAAGCTTGGTAGAATTCAGCAGTGAAGCCATCTGGTCCTGGGCATTATTTTGCTAGGAGACTGTTTATTACTGATTCAATCTTGTTGCTGATTACTATTGATTATTGATCTGTTCAGGTTTTCTAGTTCTTCCTGATTCAGTCTTTATAGGTTGTATGTGTCCAGGAATTTATCCTTTTCCCTTAGGTTTTCCAGTTTGTTAGTGTATAGTCATTCCTAATATTCTCTGATGATCTTTTGTATTTCTGTGGTATCATTTATATTTCCTTTTTTTTTTCTTTTTGTTTCTGACTTTGTTAAACTGAACTTTAAAAATCCTAGTCTCCTCTCCTTTGTCCCACTTTTTATTTACCAAATAAATCAATCATTCCCCCATATCCTACTTCACAACCCTTGGGGTGTGCCCTATTGTAGAGTATCAAATCCACAGTCATGTTTCCAGTAAAAAAAAAAAAACCATTTGAAGTCAGTTTGTTTGAAACCTTTTCTAAGCCTGAAGCATTCACTTGTCTATGGCACAGATGGCCCCAACTCACATCAGCCTCTACATATTTATTTACTGTCCCCCTCCCCCAAGTGCCAGACAGATAAACCTTGAAGGGCATGGGACTACTGACCTTTTAAACGGATAACATTTTACAAGGATTCTGAGTTATCCACTTATTCTACATCAAATAAATATGCTGCCTTCATCCTAACTCCTGATGGATAGAAGGAAATGAGTAAAAGAAAAAATCTTTGCCCACAACCAAGAAAGAAGAGAAAATGTCCAGGTTCTTTTATCTAAAGGGAGTGAATCTGACTTTTTGATTCACTTTGGAGATTGCTAAAAAATACTAAAGGAAGAAATTAACAACTAATTGTCCCTCAACAGAAAGGTGAAAAAGCACGAAAGAAATTATGGCAAATCTTTGTAAACAAGTATAGGAGAAATTGGGCATTTTCAATAAATAGCTTGAGATTATACTTCTACTATAAGCTTTCAGACTTTTCACATGAATAATTCCCATCTTGGTAGGGCATCCAATCTATCACTAGAATATATAATCTTGACAAGTAGCAATGTTTGATTGTATTGAAAACTCCTTGGAAGCATCAACCAACTGACTTTTCAAAGGCATGGCCAATTGTACACAAGTTCAAACTTGAACTCAGAATGTCCTGAGTGCGTGCACTAAGCCCAGCCTTGCTCTTTGCTTATTAGACTTTTTTCTTAAGGAGGAGTCAACTACTACATTGTTACTTCTTCTTCATTGTGTTCCTGTCCCCACCCTGGAGCCCCAGGAGTTATTCGATCTATTGATCATATTTTGTTGATTATGTGCTTTCATATCTGTCTATTTCCAAAATAAAATTGATAACAAAATACATAATGGAGTTTATATGTTGTAGGTACCTTGATCAGTGAAATGGATTAAGGCCTGATTTTTGGATCAGGTACTTTGATCAGTGAAATGGATTAAGGTCTACATTTCCATAAATTATGAGGACATTCTGGGATCCTCTGAAATATCTACAAAATAGTCTGGTAGCTTCTTTTGAGCACCACACTCTCCAGCATTTCCAGTAGTTACCATGGTCACAGGTGGAAAGAAGTTAAAACATCTTATATCATTCCGATGTGATACTTTCTAGCATATAAACTCTTGCTCCATAGAGACGTCATCAGCATTTATTTGGTCTAAGAACACAGAACGGAAATTCTGATGCTAGTTTAAGAAAATCATTTGAAAAGTTAACTGCTCTACAGCAACGAGAATAAAAAATTATAGTCCCTCCACAATAACATATGTGAATCTCAAAACATAATGTGAAAGAAGCCAAACCCCAGACAACATATACAATATGATTCCACTTATTTAAAGTTTAGATACAGGTGAAACAAATATATAGTGTTAGATGTCTGCAGAGTGGTCACCCTTGAGGATGGGGGGGTGAGTTAATGGAATGGGGCGTGGAGGGGGATTCTGGGAAGCTTGTTAAATTGTTTCTTGATCTGGGTTATAAGTAAGTGAGATTTACTTGGTGACAATTCAACCTTATGCTTATTACTACTTTTCTGCATACATGTTACACTTCAACAAAAATTCACTAGCATAATATAACTAAAGAAGGAAATTTTAAAATTTTCCACCAATACTAAAAAATATTTTGAATGTTATATACAAAAAGTGATACACTAATAAATCATAGATAAAAATATTTTAACAAGTTAAACGGGAAGATATCATACCCAAAAACAAAGACAATTAGAATAATAGGAAAAGACTGGAAAAGAATACAGTGAGGACTACAGTTAGGAAATGCCAACTATTTTATAAGCGAGGAAAATAAATTCCATGCAGAAATTTAAGAGAAAGAATAATTTCAAACCGTATAGAATTTTATCAAACATCAAACCACTTCATTTTACAGACTGAGAGACAGAGAAAAGCTCAAGCTCGCACAGCTGGTCAGTGGAAACTATAACCCAAGCCTCCTCAGGCCTCTCTCCCCCTTTGTAAAAGATGAGGACAACAGTTAAACTCCACATCACCATACGACTTTTCAACACAATGACAGATCTGATAACATGGAAGGGTAGAGTGCAGGTGAATGGCTGCTGCTGTGTACCTTTTCAGATTCCAGGGCTCCAGACTTTGGGGATGTTCCAGCAGTGACTTTCCCAAGATTGTAATGAATTATGAGAAGGCATGAGAAAGCAATGTCAACTTCTGCTGAAACTTCAGTGGAAAAGGCTGAAACTGAAGAATAGCAACACTTGATCATCTGGAAACACCAGATCCCGAGAATGAGTTAGCCTCATTTTAAGTGACCTGAGAAATTTCCAGAGTTGACTAGAGTTGACTACGAAGAATAATTTTAAAGATTAAATGTCAGGGGGCAGACTTCGTACATGTCTGTGAATACTGTATACTTCTGAATAGGCCAAAGCTCCTGCTCAGAAGTCTCCCACAGGGAAAAAAAATGAGATAAATATAAGAAGCCATTCCATTTCCTTTGTTCCCCAAGCAGTAACTGACACTAGGGAATTCAAACAGATGAGGTTATGTAAGAGAGGAGTTAGCAGTAGGAGACTAAGTCATATAGGCAGAAGAATTAATTTAGAAGGCAGAATCAACAGAGATGTGACAAATGGGAACAAAGTAAAATCAGAAGTCCTACTCAATGGAAAGGATGCCTCTAGTCAATCAGAGTAAAGGCACTGCTTTCATAATTGTGTCTTGGTTTTCACCAAGTATCAGGGAATCACTTGACCAAAGGTGTGAACTTAGAACAACCATGAGATGGTAATGGCAGAGAAGAGAACCATAGCAACAGTGGTGATACAACTCAGAAAAGTTAAGGCCTCCATTCGCATCTGTTTGTTTTTTTTTTTTTTTTCTTTTGAGATTCTTTTTTAAGAAAGGGATTTAAGACCCATGCATTGTTCATTTCACAGATTCTATTTTGCATTACAACACAGGCAGTAATCCCAGGCTCTGTGTAGAATAATGTCTTCCTAGTGTTCCCCTTGAGAACCTACATTTGCTGCTAATGTGGGGCTGCATGTGATGGCAGCCTGCTAGTTTCCTGCTGGTGGACTAATGGCTGCAACTAAGCACTCCTTTCAAACTGTGCTGAAACCCTCGATGTGGAGATCTCTTCCTTTGAAATCTTGTTACAATTCAAAGACTATGGAAATTAAGAGCCCATTTAAAGATTCAGCCACAAAAGCTGAAAATTATGCACTTTTAAGGACATCAGACATCTGGCAATGAATGTACAAAATGGTTTTAGGTTGGTGTTTGGGCAGAATCTCTTGAGGCTGGGAGACCAGGACCTGAGGATGTGTGGGTCTCTCTCACAGCCCAAACTCCTTGAGGGAGTGGGCCAAGGGCTTGGGTAGATCACAGCTTGGAAGTGTCGATAGTCTTTTATATAAATCATGGGAATTCCTAGAAGTTCTGCCTGCTAGTAGGTACGTGATTCATTACATAGAATCATATATCCTTGATAAGCTGCAAGGTAGGTGCCCTCTAAAAATGCCCTAGTCAAATAATTGCCCAATTTTGTGATCATTCTCCAGGTCATCTGACATGGTTACCCTCTCCTAATGTAGCCCCTGGAGTCCTGGGCTATAGTGAGGTGTTTTTGCTTTGTCATCAGCAGCTTCCCAAAGACTGGAAGAGTGGTAGTATTTTGTTAAGGATTTTACCATCTATGTTCATCAAGGATATCGGTCTGTAGTTTGTTTGTTTTTTTTTTTTTTTGGTTATGTCCTTTCCTAGTTTTGGTACTAGGGTGATGCTAGCTGCATAGAATGAATTAGGGAGGGTTCCTTCTTTTTTTTTTTTTTTTTTTTTTTTTTTGAGTTAAATACAGGTTTTTTTTTTTTTAAATCTGTAATTGATGTACATTTGACTTTAAGAAGACACTTTACATCAGGTCACCACAAAGCAGATTTACATACAACCATCAATTGCAGAAAAACAAAGTTTCTTTTTGATCCAAACACAAAAAGCTTTGTGTTTTATTTTTTTATGATCTCTTCCTTGACCATAAAAAAAAAAAAAAAAAAGTAAAAAATGCAGTACTTTTCGAAGGTGAAGCTAGTAAGTTTACAGAAGTGCAAAACACCAAAACACTTTAAGCAAAAACTTTTTTTTTTTTTTAAGAAAAACGTATGACTTCTCGTTTTCTGTTCTTGGCATAAATTTTAATTCTTTCCAGTGGAACCAAAACCGCCTGAACCCCTTTCGGTGTCATCCAAAGCTTGAACTTCTTCTATTTCTGGATAAAAAATCTGTTCGCAAATGAGCTGTGCAATTCGATCACCCTTTTTGACTTCAAACTTTTCTTTGCCAAAATTAAACAGTACAACACCAACATTTCCTCTATAATCTTCATCTATGACACCAGCTCCTACATCAATAAAGTGTTTTGCAGCCAAGCCTGACCGTGGAGCTACTCTTCCATAACACCCAGAAGGGAGCGCTATCTGAATGTCCGTTTTCACAAGAGTTTTCTCCATAGGTGGTATTGTGTAATCATAGGCACTGTACAGGTCGTAACCCGCGGCCCGCGCGGAGCCCCGGGTGGGGGCCGTGGCGTGCTCGGAGAGCCGTGCAAAGCGGAGCTGCATGCCGCCCTCCTCTGCAGGCCGGGGCCGCTTACTGGGTGAAATGGCCTAGGGAGGGTTCCTTCTTTATCTTGTGGAATAGTGTCAAAAGGATTGGTACCAATTTTTCTTTGGAGTCTGGTAGAATTCTGCTGTGAATCCATCTGTTCCTGGGCTTTTTTTTGTTGGTGGTAATTTTTAAATTACCATTTCAATCTTGCTGCTTGTTATTGGTCTGTTCAGGCTATCTAATTCTTCCTGATTTAAGTTAGGAGGGTTGTATTTTTCCAGGAATTTATCCACCTCTTCTAGAGTTTCTAGTTTATGTGAGTGAAGGTGTTCATAGTAGCTTTGAATGATCTTTTGTATTTCAGTGGTGTCAGTTGTAATATCTCCTGTTTCGTTTCTTAGTGAGGTTATTTGGATTTTCTCCCATCTTCTCTTGGTTAATCTTGCTAATGGTCTATCAATTTTATTTATCTTTTCAAATAACCAGCTTTTTGTTTCATTTATCTTTTGTATTTTTTATTTGTTTGTTTGTTTCAATTTCATTCAGTTCTCCTCTGATCTTTGTTATTTCCTTTCTTCTGCTGGGGTTGGGTTTGGTTTGTTCTTGTTTCTCTAGTTCCTTAAGGTGTGACCTTAGATTGTCTCCTGTTTAGTTTCTTAGTGAGGTTATATGGATTTTCTCTCTTCTTTTCTTGGTTAATCTTGCTAATGGTCTATTAATTTTATTTATCTTTTCAAATCACCAGCCTTTTGTTTCATTTATCTTTTGTATTGTTTGTTTGTTTGTTTGTTTCAATTTCATTCAGTTCTGTTCTGATCTTAGTTATTTCCTTTCTTCTGCTGGGTTTGGGTTTTTTTCTTGTTTCTCTAGTTCCTTAAGTTCTCTAGTTCTCTAGCCTTAGATTGTCTGTTTGTGCTCTTCCAGACTTTTTGATGTAGGCATTTCGGGCTATGAACTTTCCTTTCAGCACCACCTTTTCTGTATCCCAGAGTTTTTGATAGGTTATGTCATTTTTGTCATTCAGTTCGAAGAATTTTTAAATTTCCATCTTGATTTCGTTTTTGACCCAATGCTCATTCAGGAGCAGGTTATTTAATGTCCATGTATTTGCTTGGTTTTGAAGGTTCCTTTTGAAGTTGATTTCCAGTTTTATTCCACTGTGATCTGAGAGAGTTCTTGTTACGATTTAAATTTTCTTAAATTTATTGAGGCTCTTTTTATGGCCCAACATATGCTCTGTCTTGGAGAAAGTTCCATGCACTGTTGAATAGAATGTGTATTCTGCAGTTGTTGGGTGAAATGTTCTATATATATCTGTTAAGTCCATTTCTTCCAAGGTGTAGTTTAAATCCATTGTTTCTTTGTTGGCTGTCTGTCTTGATGACCTGTCTCGTGCTGTCAGTGGAGTATTAAAGCCCACCGCTATTACTGTGTTGCTGTCTATCTCATTTCTTAGGTTTATTAGTAATTGTTTTATAACTTTGGGAGCTCTGGTGTTAGGTGCATATATGTTTAGGATTATGCTATTTTCCTGTTGGGCAAGGCCTTTTACCATTATGTACTGTCCCTCTTTGTCTCTTTTAACCACTGCTGCTTTAAAGTTTTGTGGTGTTTTTTTTTTTTTTTTTTTTTTGAGATTCAGAAATATATTTTATTAGAAAAGTAATGCACATTCATTGTAACATCAGCTTTTATTTCTGTGTACTGTATGAACTTCCCAAAACCATTCTCCAAAGTTAACCATTTAAAGCTCATTCATGTATTTTATTATGCATCCTACAACAAAGACTAGGAAGCAGGCAAGAATGACTATAAAACACAGCCTAGTTACAGAAAAGTTCATCTATTTTTACATGAAAACATTTTGAAACCAATTTTGTGTTTATTGAAGGATTTTTGTCACGCATGTTATTAAAGATTTTTTTTTTCTGTCAGAGTATTAGTTTCCTAGAATTGCTATAACAAATTACCACAAACTGGGTACCTTAAAAGAGCAGAAATATATTCTGTCACCATTCTGGAGGCTAGAAGTGCAAAACCATGTTAGCAGGGTTGGCAACTCCTGGAACTCTGAGGGAGAATCTATTCCATGCATTTTTTCTATCTTCTGATGGTTGCCATGATGTATCACTCCAATCTGTGCTCTAGCTTCATGTGACATTCTCTCTCCTGTGTCTCTATCTTCTCTTCTTTTTATTTTCCTTTTTTTTTTTTTTTTTTTTTGAGACGGAGTCTCGTTCTCTTGCTCAGACTGGAGTGCAGTGGCGCAATCTCAGGTCACTGCAACCTCCGCTTCCCGGATTCTAGTGATTCTTGTGCCTCAGCCTCCTGGGTAGCTGACATTACAGGCACACATCACCATGCCTGGCTAATAAAAATTAACTGGTATTTTTAGTAGAGATGAGTTTTTGTCATATTGGCCAGGCTGGTCTTGAACTCCTGTACCTCAAGCTGTTCACCCAGCTTGGCCTCCCAAAGTGCTGGGATTACAGGCGTGAGCCACCACACTGGCCATATCTTCTCTTATAAGGAACACCAGTCATGTTGGATTAAGGGCCTGCCCTGCTCCAGTATGACCTCATCTTAGCTACTTACAACCCCAATGACAGTATTTCCAATAAGGTCACATTCTGAGGCTCTAGGAAGTACATGAATTTTGGGGGGACACTGTTCAACCCAGTGCATTCAGTATCTATTTAACATAAAAAATCCCACACTATGCAGGATGAAAAAATGACTTATGAAATAGATGAATGATTGTTGAATATACAGATGTGATCTTTTATTTTCCAGTCACATACAGGGATAAGAATTTTTGGGGAATATGTCTCATTCACAAATATGTGTTACATGCAAAGAGAAATTTATACATTGTTCAAGTAGGATTCAGGGAATTAACCTAATTGCATTCTCTTGTTTCTATTTCAAGCATATTGTTCTCCAGATTTTTTTTTTTTTTCTAATTCTGATTTCTCTGTAGGATTGTTCAGATTTAAATAAAGCCTGTAAAGCAGAAGTAGTAAACAAGCCTGGGTACTAAAGTTAAATATTACAGAGGTAGTAAAATAAGTCTGAGGTAAATTAATGTATTTAATTCTTACCTATTTTGCCCATACAGTTATGCTGATATTTCATTCCCACCAATTTAAAATTTGTAACCATGATGGAGAATCTTTTTTCTGTATTTGAAAGAAGTTTACTGAGCAAATTGGTATAAATATGATTTCAAGGATAACTATTTAAGAGAATATTTATTTATATGTACCGTTAATCAACATGTCACCTTCCATACCCCATGTGCCCTTTGACTAATTATCTCCAACTCATCCTTCGGGTCACAGTTCAAGTATTATGTTCTCATACCTGGTTTCTGACAACAGATAAAATCCTTACTAGATGCTCTTATAGTACCATGTACGACTTGTTTGTAGTATTTGCCACTGTGTCCAATTTATAGTGATTTTTGTGATTATATCTAACGTAATTTTCCTCTACTAAACTCTATAGGATGTGGACTGTGGGCCTTGTATGTTGTACTTACCTTTGCTTTTCTAATGACAAGTTCAGTACTTGCTTGATTTTGCATTTTTACTTTGCTTTCAGTTATTGCTGAATAACTGAATAAATTAGAAGTATATATTACATATAAAAAGTTGACATGTGAATTATGAATCAGTCTCATCAATTTGTTAAAGAATCTTCTACCAAGTACTCTTTTTTGAATAAACTTTTACCCTTGTTACAGTTAGCATATCTTTGTAACACCATTAAGGAAGCATTGATTTTACTATGGTAAATAGTTTTCTATTTCAAGTAGACTTGGCTGAGTTATTTTGATTAGCTTAATTAAAAAATACAAGATCCTAATAAGAGACTTTATTACTTGCTAAAGGCATTGTGAGCTATTATTAAAATAAGTACAATTGACATGAAAGATAAGTTTTGTGAAACAATTCTTCGTAAGAATTTTACATTTTTACTTGGCTGTATATGAACAAAATGGCCCATATCATACTGAAAAATCCCTTGAAAATAATAGACTATAATTTGAAAAATGAAATTTTGTCAGAACACATATTTAAACTAATATTTTAAAATTTAAAATTTGTAAAAAGCCTACATTTGAGAAAGCTATAGTAATTATTCACAAGTAGGGACATTAAAATTCATCCATAATCATCATTATTTGAGCCAGACAAAGGCTGTTGCAAATTGGAATATCTAAGTTCAAAATTTAGGACATGCAGGTATGATTTGACAGGTTGAGTTTACATATTTAGATAAATACAACATAGTATTATTTAAACAAAATTCCCTGGCCAGAGGAAGGATTGCATTTCAAGAGTCCAATATGATGCAGAGATTAAAACATTTTTCCAGTCTTGAGATGCTTCTGCTCCCTGAGTGGAACTTTCTCTGTCATGGTAATATTTCCTACAGTTTCTTTTTAAGGGGAAAAAAATGCTAAATGCTATCAATTTTCAGACTGTCCCACACTTAAACCTATATCAAGACATTCAGGAACATAACACGAGTGAAGATGAGAGAAATTGTGAGAAAAAAATTTTTGAAGAATAAGATGATGGTGACTTATAATTTGATAGTTCCTCTAAGCTTGGCTGAGCACCCTCTGGGGTTATCTTGTACATCCTGATCTTGTGGACTAAGTACCTTCTTGTGTATCAATTCCCCCATTAAAGGAGCTCTTTTCATAGAGAATTCTTTCATGTTTTCATGATCTGAACCCAGTTGCAATGTTTTCATCACTTGCTGTCTAACACTTAGGTTAAACTTTTCTGTCATGCTTATTCCAAGCAAAAATCTTTTGACGATGCGATCCTCTAGTGAATGGAAGGAGAGGGCAACAAGGCGACCACCAGGTCTCCGAAACTTCTGAACCGTCTTCAGTCCTGTGTAGAGTTCATTGAGCTCATTGTTCACAAATATGCGAAGAGCCTGGAAAGTCTTGGTGGCAATATGAGTAGATCGCTGTAGCAAGTCTTTTCCTGCATAAATAGCAGAGGGAGGAATTGCTCCTGCAATGATGCTGGCAAGCTGCTCGGTTCTGGTGATGGGGTAGATGCTGCGTGCTGAAGCGATTTTCTTGGCATGCTTCTCCTCCCCATATTTTCTTAGGATAGATACAAGTGCCTGATGATCTAAAGCATTCTCAACATTAGCAGCAGTGGGCATGTCAGGGTACCTGCCACCATCCATCCTCATGTCTAAGGGGCTATCTTTCTGAAGGGAAAAACCTCTTTGGGGAGTATCAAGTTGCATGGAGGAACACCCAAGATCCATAAGAACTCCATCAAAAGTCCCTGGCTGCACTTCAGTTTTCATTAATAAGGCTTCATCCTGGCTGAACTGGCCCAGCATAGCTCGGATTTGTTTAGGATACAACTCTGAAAGATGTTCAGCTAATGCATAAGCTGTTGTGTCTCTGTCCAGGGCATATAGAACAATATCTGACTCCTTCTGTAGAATGGCTTTTATGTGCCCTCCTGAACCAAATGTCATATCTAGAAAAGCCTGTCCTTTTTGTGGTGACCAACAATGAACAACTTCATCCACCATTACTGGAATATGTAATGTAGCCATAGTTTCAAAATCTCTATCTTGAGATCTGTTTAAATCCTGGGCTTGAGTTTGATCTGTTTGCTCCTGGGCTTCATATTCTTTATATTATTCTGCTGCAGTGTGTATGCTTTCTGGCCAGACACCTAAATTAGGTATGCCAGCTTCCAGCCAACATGAAAGATATTCTTTATACATTCCACAAAAATGTGGATATTGAAGCATTCTGTAGGTCAACAAATCTGAGGCACGAAGACTTCTCAGTTGGCCTCTAACTTGGGCCAGCGACTACCACTACAGTGCCGGAGAGCCTGAATTTGCCCACTTTAAAGTTTGTTTTGTATGATATAAGAATAGCTACCCCTGGTTGCTTTTGGTGTCCATTTGCATGAAATCCCTTTTTCTACCCCTTTAGTTTAAGTTTATGTGAGTCCTTATGTGTTAGGTGAGTCTCCCGAGGCAGCAGATGGTTGGTGAGTTCTTATCCATTCTGCAGTTCTGTGTCTTTTAAGTGGAGCATTTAGGCCATTTACATTCAATGATAGTATTGAAATGTGAAGTACCATTGCTTCCATTGTGCTCTTTGTTGCCTGTGTACTTTGGTTTTTTGTTTTTTGCTTTTATATTTTCATTTTATAGGTCCTGTGTTATTTATGCTTTAAAGAGGTTCTGTCTTGATGTGTTTACAGGATTTGTTTCAAGATATATAACTGCTTTTAGCAGTTCTTGTAGTGGTGGTTTGGTAATGGTGAATTCTTTCAGCATTTGTTTGTCTGAAAATGACTGTATCTTTCCTCCATGTATGTTACTCAGTTTCACTGGATACAAAATTTTTGGCTGATACTTGTTTTGTTTGAGGAAGCTGAAGATAGGTCCCCAATCCCTTCTTGCTTATTAAGTTTCTGCTGAGAAATCTGCTGTTAATCTGATAGGATTTCCTTTACAGGTTACCTGGTGCTTCTGTCTCACAGCTCTTAAGATTCTTTCCTTTGTCTTAAATTTGGATAACCTGATGACAGTGTGCCCAGGCGAAGATAACTTTGTGCTTCTTGTATTTGAATGTCTAGGTCTCTTGCAAGGCCAGGGAAGTTTTCCTTGATTAATCCCCCAAATATGTTTTTCAGGCTTTCAGAATTATCTTCTTTCTCAGGTATATCGATTATTCTTAGGTTTGGTCATTTAACATAATCCCAGACTTCTTGGAGGCTTTGTTCATATTTTCTTATTCTTTTTTCTTTGTTGGATTGGGTTAATTTGAAGATCTTGTCTTCAAGCTCTGAATTTATTTGTTCTACTTGTTCAATTCTATTACTGAGACTTTCCAGAGCATTTTGCATTTCTAAAAGTGTGTCAACAGTTTTCTGAATTTTTTATTTTTTATTTTTCCTTAAGCTGTCTATTTCCATGAATATTTCTCCCTTTACTTCTTGTATCATTTTTTGGATTTCCTTGCTTTGGGCTTCACCTTTCTCTGGTCCCTCCCTAATTAGCTTAATAACTAACCTCCTGAATTCTTTCTGGAATTCAGGAACGTGTTTTCTGGTTCCTTCTCATTTGGGTAGGCTCTGTGAGAGGGAAGGTCTAGGGCTGACGGCTGTTGTTCAGATTCTTTTGTCCCATGGGGTATTCCCTTGATGTAGTGCTCTCCCTCTTTTCCTATAGATGTGGCTTCCTGTGAACTGAACTGCAGTGATTGTTGTCTCTCTTCTGGGTCTAGCCAGCCAGCAAGTCTACCTGGCTCCAGGCTGGTACCAGGGTTGGTCTGCACAGAATCCTGTGATGCGAACCGTCTATGGATCTCTCAGCCAGCACCTGTTCCAGTGGAGGTGGTGGAGGGTGTAATGGACTCCGTGAGGTTCCTTAGCTTTAGTGGTTTAATGCTCTATTTTTGTGCTGGTTGGCCTCCTGCCAGGAGGTGGTGCTTTCCAGAAAGCATCAGCTGTAGTAGTGTGGAGAGGAACCAGCAGTGGTTGGGGCCCTAGAACTCCCAAGATTATGTGCCCTTTGCTTTCCACTACCAGGGTGGATAGGGAAGAATCATCATGTATAGGCAGGGTTAGGCGTGTCTGAGCTCAGACTCTCCTTGGGTGGGTCTTGCTGCAGCTGCTGTGGGGGAAGGGGGTTAGATCCCCAGGCCACTGGAGTTGTGTACCTAGGAGGACTATGGCTGCCTCTGCTGAGTCATGCAGGTTATCAGGGACGTGGGGGAAAGCCAACAGTCACAGGCCTCACGCAGCTCCCAAGCAAACTGAAGGGCCAGTCTCACTCCCACTGTACCCCTCACCAACAGCCCCAAGTCTATTTCCAGGTGGAGGGCAAGATGGGTTTGAAAACTTGCCCCAGGCTATCTGCCTCCCAGCTGTGAGAGAAAAGGGCTTTAGTTCTTCCTCTGCCTGTGAAGTCTGCATACCCAATTTGTGCCCTACCCCGAATTCTGGCCGGGAGGCTTCTCGTCTCGTTCAAATTGTTACAAAGTTCAGCTAGAGAATTCTTTCCCCCTGTGGAGTTTTACCCCCTGTTCCTCTGGCCACCCTCCCAATGGATGCCTGTGGTGCCAGGCAGGAATGGGCTGCTTGGGGACCCAGTGAGCTCCCAGGGCCTTTCTGCTGCTTCCTCTACCCTTGTATTTCACTCCTCTCTCTAACTTGACTCAGCTCCAGGTAAAGTCAGAAACTTCTCCTGCAAACAGATCTTCAGCTTCTCCAGTGGGGGTGTGTATTTGGGAGAGGCAGTCTCCCTTTCCCATCTCCACAACTGGGGCGCTCACAGTATTTGGGGTGTCTCTCGGGCCCTGCAGGAGCAGTCCGTTTTCCTTCAGAGGGTCTATGGGTCTTCTTGGGATTGCTGGTTTCTTCTTGCATTGGATCGGGAGCGAAAATTCACAATGCAAGCCTCCGCATGCTGGTCTGTCTGGAGCTGCAATCTAGTCCTGCCTCCCGTCTGCCATGATCCCCTGAATCCCCAAGAAAGAATTTAGTATCAGTTATTGGCCTACAGTATAAACTCCTTGAGATCAGAGACAACCTTTTTGTTCTCAATGTCTAGCACCTAATGTTAATCCTCTCAATTATTCTTAAACTATTGAATGGGATATGATGGCTCTCCTAAGGATCTTTGCAATTAAAACCTTATCCCTAAATAGAATGAAAGATTTAATCTCCTAATAAAGACATTACAAGGGAAGTGGGGCATAGAAGGTATTTTTTGCAGAACATCCTTCCAGTATTCCTGAAAAAAATATCACATTGGTTGACTTTCTTGTCTGAACATGAAGCAGGTTAGGGTGCTGGAAGCAGATCTGGTGAGAGGAACCCATCAATCCTCCTCCCCTGAGAGGTAAGCATTGGCAGTAAAGAGATGGGCACATTCAAATGGTATGAGTTTAACAAAGGACTGTTAAAAGGAACCCAACAATAGATAATCAAGTATTCTAGGAATAGCATATAAAGGAGCTGTTACGACTCTCATGCCTGAAAAGACAAGGGCACAGGCAATCTAACAGGAGTTGTAGCCTTCAGTAGAGGCAGCCAACCCACAATGACTGGGCAGGGAGGGAGATGAGGGAATAAAAACCCTGATCTCATTCTCCTCTCCTCCTACCTACCTAGCTCTTCCTGGGGCTTCACTGACCAAAATCAACTAGGAGCTAAAAAGTAAGGGAACCCATAGGAGCAGACCAATAAGAATCAACCTGCTAGGACAGAGCAGGATGGAAAAAAGCAGAAGGTGGACCTGGAGTGGCAGATGGAAAGGATCCAGCCTTCTACTGAAATAGCTCGCTGACAAGCATGACAACTTCCACGCAAGCTTTGGCAGGACAAGCCCAGTTCTGACCCCTGATTCCAAAATCTGTTCACCTCTGGTCTCCACAGGTCTGCCCTCATGAGAGTAAGAGCAAGAGTCACCATACCTAGGAGAAAATTATCAGAGTTTAATGTTTATTTCAAAGCCACAAAAAAGCACCTCTACTTTATCCAAGCTTTGCCTGAGGTAGGAAATATTGTATTTTAAAGCCTTGATTTAAGTAAGAAAGTCTCTCCACTCCCAAACTGAATGATGTGGATGGCTGATTCCATGGTCCTGCCCACAGCCCAGTCACATCTCAACCCACCTGAAAGTTTCCAAGCTCTTTAAAATGACCACGTCTGCTGGGTTCCAGGTCTATAGGCTCCTTTCTGTGAAGACAAAAGAACTTAGCTGTCTTGTAAGATTGGAATAATCTTTTGAAGCAGCAGCATTCTGGTGGAGAACAATAACTTCCCATAGCTTCTTGCAAGTGCAGCTGGCTGGAAAGAAATAGTGTTCCCCCCCCCCCCCCCCCCCCCCCCCCCCCGCCCAGAGGGCTTTATGAGAAAACAAACTGGAAAGATCTGTTGGAGCCACAAAAGCAGATTCTCTTTCTCCTTCTTTTCTCCTTTATATCTTATTTTACTTTAGCCATAAAACACGCATCGGATTGTAGAAATTAAAGCCCATCTCAGCTTGAATGAGGCCAATTTCCGTGCTGATGAAATAGTTGACAGCATTGCAGGCTTGTTCATTCTTCACTGAAATGGGTTCCCCACCAAAATTCACAGGAGTATACCAAGAATGTAATGAAATAAAAGTTTTTAGAAATCCCTTTGAAAAATATACCAGAATAATCAAAGATTCTATATTAGTAAAAGGCCTTAATAGTACCCTTTTGTATATAAATGTAGTCCTCCTTGCTTGGGAACCAACTGTCAAAAGACCATAAGTTTCAAAAGAATGGGTTTAAGATAAGCCAATATGATGTTAAATTTTGTGGAGTCCAGATGGTTCTGTCAAGCTTGTCTTTGGCTGCTTGACTTGTGGGGATTTTTCTTCTGAGAACTAAATAAACGTGGGTGGTAGAAACATAGCTAGCAACCTAAGAAATACACATGAATCACTGTAGTAAATGTTTCAGAGTATGTGCCCATTCTGAGCTCCACTTCATCAATCCTCCTCCCCCTGAGAAGTGAGACCCTGAAGCCACGTCATTGCCGTGTCTCCACCACTTGTTGACCACAGCTAATTGGACCAAAAGTAGATACTTAACTCAGAAAAAACAATTCAGAATCTATACTGTCAGGAAAAAAAAAAAAAAAAGTCTTTCATCATTTGATATTGGGACACAGAAAGGTCAGTAAAACTACCTATAGGCAGTCATTTTATAAACTGATAGAAACTTGACTAAAGGCCACCATTTAGAGGCAGCTATGACATTCCATACATAAACATGGCAGAATAATCAGCCTTGAGTAATAAAAAAAAAAAATGAAGCCACTAATAGAGATTAGAAGATATAAAAGACCATATACTCCCAAGAGAGATATGAATACAGATAGGAGAGGTCTGCCTTGAATTATGTTGACTTT